GGGGAGCCGGGTGGGCGGTTCAGTGCGGGGCCCCGAGCCCAGCCCAGGATTGACCTGCCCCAGGCACCAGGGCCAGGACCCCGGCGAGAACAGCCCTGGGGCCAAGGTGGGGGCCTAGCACCCCCCTCTCCCCACTCCCGGAAAGTGAGTGGTCTCTGGCACGGACTGGGGAGGGTCAGGCCCACTGGGGCCTAGTAGAGGCTGGGGGGAGAAAGGGGCTTTGCCAACTCGCTCCTCGAGGGCTGGGCCCCCAGATGGGAGCCCCCAGGGAAAACAGCCCAGACCGAGAACAGCCCTGGGGCCAAGGTGGGGGCCTAGCACCCCCCTCTCCCCACTCCCGGAAAGTGAGTGGTCTCTGGCACGGACTGGGGAGGGTCAGGCCCACTGGGGCCTAGTAGAGGCTGGGGGGAGAAAGGGGCTTTGCCAACTCGCTCCTCGAGGGCTGGGCCCCCAGATGGGAGCCCCCAGGGAAAACAGCCCAGACCTGCACCAAAGGCCCTTTTGGGCTGCACCAGTCTCAGGGAAAAGGGCTGGGCCTTGGGCAGCTCCCGCAGCATCTTGGCAACGTCATAGTGGCGACAGCCCACGATGCTCTGGTCGTTGATGGCCTCGATGCTGTCTCCCACGCGCACCGCCTGCGCCCGGTTGATGATGCTCCCTTCCTTTATTCTCTGGGGGGGGCACGGCCAGTCAGCACTGGGCAGCCCCCAAGGCCCAGCCCGGCCCCGGGGGGCAGCACTGCTGGGCAGAGCGGTGACCCTAGAGCTGCAGCCTGGGGCACCCGCGTAGCAGGAGCTGCCATTTCTCCAGCCCCAGTTGCACGAGGGGCCCCGAGGTCTGCAAGGGGTACAGGGCATCACCCTCGCAGGGCCCGGCCGTAGGAGGGAGCCAGGCTCAGCCCTTCTCGCCCTGGTCCCTGGCACTGCAGACAGCAGCCGGGGGAGGGGCAGTGCGCGGGGCACGTGGGGCCAGTGAGGGGTATATCACCGACGGGGATGTCTGTGCTGGCGAGGGCTGGGCAGTGGAGGTTTCTCCCATTCTCTGCCCCCAGACAGGAGCTGGGCTGGCTGCAGCTTCACTCCTGGCCCCAGAACATGGGGTTGCCCAGGTCCCTTCCCAGCCTCACTGTGCACCATGAGCTAGGGCGAGCGGATGCAAGCCCAGCCCCGGGGACGGGGCCGTCGGCGCCGCGAGCCCAGCCCCAGAGAGGAGCCAGGGGAAGTGATTTCATGGCTAAGACACAGCTGACCCGCTAGCCCAGCCTCCAGCAGGGCTCTGGCACAGGCTGGGTGCTGTGTGGCTCCAGTTCTGGCCTGGGACAGATTCAGATCCCAGCTCTGCTAGGTGAGGATTCCCTGCTCTGTTCCCTCCCTCAGAGGCACTTGGCCCAGGCCACGGTGGGTGGACAGGACACTGGGCTGGATGGACCTTTGGTCTGACCCATCACTGGCACCAGCTGCTTCTGAGGAAGATGTAAGAATTCCTACAGGCAGCTCTAGGTGAGCTACCCTAGGGCCTGGTCCCTCCAGCCCCCACAGCTAGAGGGTGGCTTGTCCCTGAAGCAGGGGGTCTCCCTTGGGTTATTTCCTGACTCAGGCTACTCTTCCTCCCTGAGGCAATGACCACACCCTTCCCTGAGCCCTGCCAAGCTCTTGGCCTCTCGGTTACCTTATGGCAGTGAGTTCCACAGGCCACCAGTAGGAAAAGGCATCCCCCTTGGATCAGTTTTGAATGGATCACTTTTCCATGTCATTGAAGGACTCCTATGTCGCCCCATGGGACGGGAGATCAGAGACCCCTAACCTGCCACCTCTGCTCTCTCAGCTGCCTCCTCAAACCAGCTCAACCTCCACTTGGTGAGGTTTCCCTACGTCCCCACTCATCCCCTCCACCGCTGTGTGCTGGGAGCCTGCCCCAGGGAATTCCCAGCTATTGAAGGGTCCATGAGAATAAATATCTGTCAATTTTGCTTCCGGCACATCCATCCCAAAGCCGAATTGTGTGAACCTGATGGGCCTTCTCCCAGGAACCAGCCTTCCCTGACCCCCTCCACAAAGTTTTGTCTTTTAATCAAACTGAAAACGGAAATACTTTTAAGACGTGCCACCCAGTGTCTCGTGAGTATTGTCTGTAGTTCAGTGATTCTTGCTCCTCCTCTCCTTTATGGGCCCTGCTGCCTGGTCAGACTACTACTCCCATGATGCACTAGGCTCTCCTCTCTTAGTGAGGCATCATGGGCATCAGACCCATAGTGCATCATGGGATTTGAAGTCCCGCTGGGGAGCAAGGTGAACAGAAAGCTGTAATACCCGAAGGCACCAGGAGCGCTCCTAACCCCAGACTGTCTGGGTGCCCGGGGCGCAGTTTTTTAACAAACACCAGACGTTTCCCACCGGAAGCTGACAGCCACTTTTCACCAGAAACCTAAGTTTCCACAAAGCCCCCCTGCCTGCTGGATAATTTGTGGCCACCCCTCATGCAGCTGTGGCCATTCCAGCCATGACCCTTGATGGAAGGCTCACCTTGATGAAGGCATAGCCTGCCCCGTTGTCGGTGATGGTCAGCCCCAGCGCATCCTCTGTCTTGGTCACCTCCACCTCCTTGGTCTCGCCCCGCACGTGGGCGAAGATGAAGTCCTCCAGACCGATCTGCCCCCCCAGCAGCTTCTGCATGTCCACCTTGTGGGTGTTGAGGGTGCAGAAGACGATCTGCCAGAGAGCAGCCCCTTCACCACCCTGCCTGCTGGGCGTGGGAACCCAACAATAGCCTGGCGGAGCAGCAGCTGGCATGCGCCAGAAGGGTGCACAGCTCCCAGCATCGTGATGCCCCTGCCCCGGGTTGGGAATGCTCCTCGCTTTGCTCAGTGTGAGTTGCAGACCCTGGATTCCTGCTTTCTGCCCTGGGGTGGGGGAGTCACTTCTGGATGGTGCATTAATGATCCTGTGAAAGGTGTTTGCCCCATGAAAAGGGAAACGGCCACTCGGGGAAGCAGGGCTTACGTTTGCTGGGGACGTTCCCATTCCCCACTGCAGCCCACGACCACACACGCCAGCCCCATATTATCGATGATCATCGTGTCTGTCACGGCAGCGCCCCAAGCCCGACCCTTGAGGCAAACGCCCTTCACACGATCTACAGCGCACACCGATAAACGAATGAGCCCCAGAGCCGAGCTGGCCCCACCGACCTCCTTTGGAATGCCAGGGAACTCAGGGAGCAAAATTAGATGCATTTTCTAACCAGAAACATGATGGGATTTTGCTCTGCTTTGTTGTGGCAGAGCCATGTTGGGTAATTAACCAGACTGGACTCAGTACAATTCCTGGCTTTGATGGATGCCCTGTAGCACGTGTCTTGGTTGACCTGTATCTCAGTTTCCCCATCTGTAAAATGGGGACAAACCTCCTTCCAGGTCTGCCGGTTGCATGGCTTGCTCTTCAGGGGCAGGGCCTGGCTGGGGGTGTATGTGCAGCACCCTG